TGTGTGTGTGTGTGTGTGTGTGTGTGTGTGTGTGTGTGTGTTTTGGGGGGGAGGGTCCTGCTGGAAAGCAGGATCAGGAGTGAAAGTGAACAGGCTGCAGTTTTGGCAGGAGAGTGGGAGTGTTTTTTGTCAGCAAAAGCAAGACAGAGAAAAACATGAAGAGGGAAGTGCACTGTTTGTTTTAAATTAACTAGTTTAATAAGTACATTATTTTGTCTGAGATAGTGTTTTAAATAACAACAAAAGTGTTCAGCTGTCTTTAAATGTTTTTATAGTAATGTATAGAAATGATTAGAAAACTACAGGTTCAGTAGGTCCATGCAGTTAGGGAAACTTGTGTTTTACTTATAGCATTGTTTATGAGTTTAATGGGTTTTCTTGAGTGTTGAAATTTGTGTTTATCTTCATTTAGGAAAAATCAATGTTTGATGTCAGTGAGTGAAAACTGCCCCTTGGCTTRTTCTGATGACATGTTCCACTTCTGAAATGCTCCTGGTGTGACATGTAGCAGTCACAATCAACAAAACCAGCCCAAATAATGATTCATGACTTTGTTTTTCYATGTGGTGGTAAGAGCTAAAACCAGTCTAATAAAGAAACCGTGACTTAACATGCACAGTGGAGAATTTACGAACAGAAGCCATGCGAATATTTACTAATCCAGTCAAACACAAGATCCTAAAACAGGATTTGTAGAGAGATAGCTGTAAATATTTAGATTAGAGTCCAACCTGGGACTGGACCTCCTACAGCAGGCACGGCGATGACATCATCATCCGTGCTGTGAAGCTCTTTAGTTCATCATTTTGACATTAATATTTAGTTATAAGTTAAGATAATGTCTTGTAGTTGTAGTCTGTAACATTGTGCTGGGGCTGAAGTCATAAGTCCAACAATCACGTCCAGATTATCTGGACAAAATGAAAATAAAGTTAGTCTGAAATGGAGTGTGTGTTTTGGRGACTCTACTCCCTTCAGATTATCTGAGAGCGACGCAGCGAGTGGAGGAGGTCTTGTTTGTGTCACTTTCTGTGCTTTTCTTCCCTCATTTGTTAGGCCCCTCCCTGCTGGCAGCGAAGCTGAAAGATTAATCATTCTGTGTCAGACTACACAAGTTTCTTTCACTCTTTTTTAACATAATTCTAAATATCAGACAACACTAAAACTGGTCAAACGTTATCGTGGTACGTTTCCCTGAAGCAACAAATTGTCGTGGCTCAGCGCCCGTTTTATTTTACATCCGTCTCTTAGTGGCATATCAGCTTCCACTTGGTCCTTGGCCTTTGTTTGGAGTGAAGGACACAACAGCTGTTGCTTTCACAGGATTTTCTAACCCCAGGTCCTTGGAAAGAAATTAAATCTCTCCCTTCCCTTTTGTGTTAGTTTTAAAAAACATGTACGATTGCCGAGAAGAAGGTTCTCCACTGACACCACCAGYAGACCTTTGCCTCTGACACTTATACACTTTCTTTTTCTTCAAACACCCAGGACTTTCCTCTCTTGGCGTAGCCGAGTCGAGGGTGGACTGGGAGGGAAACGGACAGAATCTGACGGGTTCAGCTCCTTCTTTCACCTGTCTCATTATTAGCGGCGATGAAGGACACGGTCAGAATTCCCCCCCAATTATTCTGTCTGAGAGTCGCCTCGTTCCCTGCATCCACCTGTTGACAGAGCAGCTAAACGAGACCCCGGAAGGAATGTTAATCATAGAACCTGACATGTTGCYGGAGATTTGGCCTTCGGCCTCTCGGTGGGCCCCTCAGACAGGTGGCTTTGTCTCAGTGGACCAGATCCGATATCAAGACTCTGATACAKTTTGAAGCTTCGAAAAGTTTGTTTTCAGTGTAGAACCTTTATTGTAGTCAGACCACCATTATTTAAAAGGTTAGTTCAGATCATGTGGAAAAAAGCAATAAACAGTATCTTACCTGTTGTGGATAGCTTTTTGAACAACCTCAATGTGGCAAAAATAACGCTTAATTTGATTAAACGGACAAGTTGATGTCTACATTATCAGTTGCTTCATATTAAAGTACAATTTTATGATTTTTTTTTGTATGCACAAATAACATCATTAGCAGTTAGCTGTATCACTTCTTGTCTAGCCCATTTTTTTCTCTTTTGTGCATCTTCTAAATCTACAGCAGAAGCCTTTTTTACCCTATAGCAGGGATTTTCAGCTAAAGAGCACCTCAAAGCCCATAGCATGGGCGGGTGCCAAATGATTTGAAATCTATTTTATATTAAGTTAAAAAATGTTTATTTTAAATTTTTTTTTGTTGGGGGCCCATTGGTGGGCCAGATGGAAGTTGAATAGCCCTGTCCTATAGTTTTCCTGTAAAAATCAGCCATATAAAAAATAATCTATTTATCAAATAGCAGCTAACTCATGATCCATGACTTTAAATCCAATTAACTGATGTTAAAATTAAATTAATTAAATTAAAACCATCAGATTGGGCTTACTAAACTTTAAACTGTAACGTTTTCCTAATTGTTCGTGTCAGTAGATTGAGACTTGAAGCTGTGTGAAGAAATTATGATGCCCCTGATCTTTCAATTTGTATCTCTGTTATTTTTTTATGCCATCATTGGATAAACGCTTATTTCCCCGTGCCAGATAATGAAATATTAAAGCATAACAATTAGAGAACGGCTGTGGGAGGGTGGCAATGTGTGATGAGGTAAGRCGGGCAAATCCACGGCGTATCTCAAACTGCCTCGGGGCGGAAGAGCTCATCGCAAACCAAAACACAAACTAATTGCGGAGCATTTTGATGCAGGTTCAGTAGCTGAGCTCTTTGATGTGTGTTTGTGCTGAGTATGTACACGGTTYGTCCTCCTTTTAGGGGGGAAAACCACAGTGTTTAATCTTGACACTGGATATGAAGCCAAGCTGAGCATGTGGGGTGGCGGTTAACCAGCATGAGACACAGACACCTGTGTGTGCTCATCAGCTGAGTTCAGACAGAACAGACTTTAACTTATGAAAATAGATATGAAAGATAAAAGAAAAACTGTAACGTCCCCCCCGACACACAGCCTGCCCTCCCTTTTAGCACCACAAGAGCTTCTCGGATCCGACCCAAACAAAACCTCAATAGGCAAAGAGCAAAGGGCAGAGAGCCACATTTAACTTTCAAATGCTCTGCTTGTATAATCACAGCCCATTAAATAAAAGCCTTTTGTTGCCACATTTATCTGTTCATTCATGATGTAATCGTTCCGTATGTTTGCTTTGCAGCTATTCAAACACTCGGGAGCATTTGGGATGTTATCTTAGAYGAGCCTCGGGTTTAAGCAGGTACACGTGGGGTAATGCGAAATTAAACTCTTTCTGAACGCCTTCACTCAGCAGTTACTTTTATAAAACGAAAAGATTCTGTGAGCTTTTTGTCAACAAATAAAGAAAACCGTGTTAGCAGCACTTAAAGGCATTATCTCTGATCAAACAAAGTGACCATAAAGTGAAGCCCTCTGTTAAGCCTCACTAAGCTCAGCGACCTTCTGAGTAAACACTGCTTCTCGAATATGAGCAGTAATGAGGTGTTGAAACGCTTCAGACCTTTAAAAAGCTCTTTGTGAAACACTGTTTGCTTAAAATGATACTGTAGAGCAGGGGTGTAAAACGCTTTTTCACAGAGAATCATATGAGCCTTAGGATTTACCTCCGAGGGCCAAATATCTTTTTCTGTTTGACTTTAACTAAACACAAAACRTCAYGTTCCTTGTCTTATTGCAGCAACTGAGCTCCTTGTGGCGTTCCGTGCATAGAAACAGTGTTTTAACACACCCTCTTATAAAAAGTGATATGTATTACATGTACAACTGACTGAATTTGAAATAAATACTAAAGAAATACTATTAAAAGTAAACGTTAAGAGAGTTCTACTCACTAGCTGCGTTTTCATTGCAAATGTGCGCAACACTTTGTTGATATTCTGTTAATGTCGAAAAACACAGTTTTGCAATTGCAGTGTTTCCATTAAGTAAGAAATGCTATTAAAGTCATACGTGAATATGCTTGTTCTCGCGATAAGTCATTACAAACATGGCGGCAATTGATGTAAACACATAGCATGTTGCT